GAGCCACAGAGTTATGCATTTTTGTGTATTACAAATATATTGTTGTACTTTTTACATTAAATATCATTATACTTTTAAAATTATTTAAATTAAAAATGTTAGAAAGAAAAAAAATAGAAAGTCTCATAGAAAAAGAGATTATTACATTGTTATACGTATATTACAATTATTATATTGGAAAACCAAATGAAATGTTATTATTGAAGTTTTTGAATAATCAGCATTCAATAAAATTGTCGAGACAAAAAATTCCATTCCTCATGTGGAGAAAGCTTCATCGCGGAAGAACGTTGTGACGGTCTAATTAGAAACTCGAATAATTTATGAGTGCCACATCGTCCTATTCAATTAAGGACGCTGAAAATACATCTTTGACGATATTCTGGGCTCTCGTTTGCTACGCTAGGCTACCGAACCGAATAAACAGGGTGTCGCTGCTCCTATAGATTATCCGTGGGATTGACACTACTATATGTACTAAAGTCTTTCATGCAACAAACTTGCTCGATGCTCTCATTCACTTCTATTTCTAGAACGAAAAATCGAGCATAAAAAGAATACTACGAGAATTAGGCATATTCAGTACTGCAGCATATCGCTTCGGTATCCAGGAAGCTGAATACGATCCACACCTTCCATAAAAATATCCGTTCCAAAAAAAAAATTTTTCGTTAAATTGTTAATTAATTTTACTGTTTAAAATTAATATTTTTTTTGTAAAAGTAACTGGTATTTGTGTAAGAAAAAGTCAACGATAATTAAAAAAATTTTTTTAATTTTATATAGTAAAAAAAGTCTTTTTTAATTAATTCATAATAATATTTTCCGATATATAACAAATACATATATTTATTTTTTTTAATAAAATATATTTTATTACATGTGATAGATTTATTAACTTTAAATTACATATATATAAATATTTGAATATTTTATGGAAAGTTTAATTGTATCCTCTTATAAAATTCATAACTTCCAAATTGAGATATAGAGATATTATTATCAAAATAAACAAAATTTATTTTTATTCTAAGTTATTCATTCGAGTATTAATTAGAATTTTTATAAATAAGAAATTTGCAGATAATTATTGACTACGAATAATTTTGTAATTATTGACTGATGTGTAAAGTTCATATAAATATACAGGTTATCTACAAATGTGCAAGTTCAGTGACGCCTTATCATGGAAGAATCATCATATTTCTCAGATATGAAACTGCAAGTGCTGCACTTATGCGTCAGAATGTGTAGATTTGAATGAATGCGATATGTCGATCTTCTCGGAATACTGTTCAGCATAAATTATTCATTTAGAGTTGGAATGAGCTAAGTAACAGAATTATCTTTTATGCTAAACGCGTTACGTTGTCAAATAACGCGCACGTCAATAATGTGAAGAAAACAAATCGGCGAATTATTTCGATATTTCAATTCTTTAGTAATTTATTAATTTATCGCTTTTTCATTCACACATCAATAAATATATTAATTTTTAAAATGCATTGCTCCTTTTAAGTCGCCTCTCAATAATAAAAATGCACAAAACTTTTTATCTATATACGATAAAACGATATCTAGCTTCTCTATAAATGTTTCTAAGATTCTCATCCGAGTATCTCAAGTATCATTTTTATCATTCCTTAACATTCGATTTAACATTCGGTAAATCACAAGGGTATACCTGAGTAACACTCAGGTGGGCATCTGAACATAGTCGAGGCATTAACGGTCACGTGATTTCTCTACGCGTTTCTCTACGCACACCGTTCGTAAACAAGAGGGACGCACAATGGCGGCGGGAGTAGGGCAAACCAACCCCGTTGCCGAGCTGCGCGCTTCTTGTCTTATCTTCACACATGTTGACGCATTCCACACACTCATCCTGCGTTTCACAGATATGCTATCCGTAATCCCATCGAAATGCATTTCTCACAATGAATATTACGAAACACGATGATAAATGAAGACTGTACGTTTTGCGTGAGAGAAGAGAGAAAGAGAGAAGTGTTAATTATTCTTTAGACTTTGGATATAGATTCCCTAGGTCTTTCGAAAATTATGCGCATTTGAATGACATACGACAAATAATAGGAAAACGTATGACAAAATGCGTTTGACGATATATTTAACGCCGAGGACACACCAAATGCCTTATATTCTGAGAAATACGTAAGAAAATTTATAAGCTACAATTGAAATTTATAAAGCTAAACCAGTGAACAGACCAACTGAAAGTAACATAACATCAATGTTACAATTTTATATTTAGCAGTGTAACTGTTATGTAACATGTGTTTTAATCCATTTTTAAACTGTTAATTGATATTTTATTAAGAATTGAATATCAAAGCTGTAACATCTTAAAGCTATAACGCACAATTCAAGAAAGAAACTTATTTTCGTATGATAATTTACCAAACATTTTGGTACTTTCGATTTACAGATTACATTCTTTCTCACTCGCGTGTAGGAAATTGTCGGATTGTATCCGTGCGTTAAAGTACTTATTATCCAACACGATTTTGTATTCAAATCGTGACTATTATTTAAGAGTCTACGAACACAACCTGATCGTTTTTGACGTTGTGGAATTTCCGTTCATCAACGCGAGATCAACAAGAAAAGCTCATTTAAATCTCGGTGACTCTCACGCGCGATTTCTCATTGGAATCCCGTGGAGAAGCGATTGGCGAACATTCGCCACGACCATCAAACCAGCTCGTCCAATCATTGCGTGAATTTCGGTGCCGGTGGCTTCACACGCGAAGATAGGTACACACTGTGGGATCCCCCGCGTTGGCCGCCAACGCAAAGAGAAGAAAAACTACCGAAACCGGCCGCTCATATTTCACCGCGGAGCTCTCCTTTGGAGAGGCAATGGCATAGGCACGACCTGTCTCTCTCTCTCTCACTTCTTTTCTCTTCCTCTTGAAAAGTTCGGCATCTTTCACGCGTTCCAGCAACCCCAAATCCCGCATTCCGCGCTTACCTACCTACCGACGCTGAGGTGCTGACCTCCTGCGAGAGGAGCGAAACGGCGGAAACCCGTGACGCTGCGTACACACCACAGAAGGCGAAGAAGAAGAAGAGGATGAAGATGAGATAGTGAAGATGACGAATGCACAGAAGACAGAGAACAAGAGTCAGTCGGACGGACGGACGGACGGACGGCGGGACGCCGCGCGCGAGATACAACAGACAACACAAACCGAAACTGTATGCACGGCCCAGGCGCGCGCCGGAAATGGTATCAACGAACGCCCCGGCGTATACGGCACTCGCTCGTAAGCACTCGCGCGAGACACAACGGGGTTATGAGCCGCACACAGGAGGCGACGACACGTCACGCACACCACAGCCCGTTCGCCACTCACAACCACGGTCGCCGCGCGGCCGACGAATCGTCAGGCTGCGTATCCGGCGTTGAGGCCGGTATACGAGAATCCGACACAGGCCGTGGGTCAGGCTGTATAGAGAACAACCGAGTCTCGCCACGCCGGTCTCAACGGATCCGATCAGTTGACGGCGGGCCCTCGAGCGGGTTGGCCGGTTTCCGAAGGGATTGTTCGTGGCTGCGATCTCTATGCAGTGGCCTCTCTCTCCTCCCCCCCTCCCTCCCTCCCTCCCTCTCTCTCTCTCTCTCTCTCTTTACAACTGCCGCATACCGTCCTATTTTCCAGGCTCAAGCCACGATCGGATTACCGGAGAGTAAGCGCACTCCGTTGCTCCAAAAAAAAAAAAAACAGGGGAAAGAAAGAGGGGATAACTCCGAAGATAGCTCGAAACTTTGAAGCTTTGAACTTATACTTGCGCACTTAGAGCGTGGATACAGTTTTAAGTTGAGACCTCAATTCTAAGCTTAGTCCTAATTAAATTGAATAAAATATTCCGTAAGTGTTGTACTCTTCGTTGAATAATCGTACGCATAGCCTGTCATACTTTGCACTGTTGAGATATTTATCTATGTGTTTTTACAAAGTTCATTATTAATATATATAAGAAAGTGGAAGATATCGAGTCCCCTCTTTGGCATACATATACTTCAGTTTAAATGACCGAAGAGTGTAATTAATTTGATATTAGGATAAGTGTGTATTTGCATGTGTTGCAGATTTCTGTACCCTTGAATTACACGAGGAGAATCGTGTTGACACATGATGCTATTTATAGATACACGCCTTTCGCGAGCGTATGCGGACTCGTGTAATTGATAGAGACGATATTTTCAATCTTTCGCGGTTAATCAATTATAGGCACCAAATCTAATCAGTAATTTGTAATTGCCGTTATGTGTTCGTTACATCAATGATATCGTAATTTTGCAAATGCACACTGATGTGTAGGAAACCGGTTAAATGCCTGCATATGATCGATTTTTTAATTTGCTAGATGAATGTCACTACATATATTATACATATTATATAAAGTAGATATACATATATAAACAATAAAACTACATAAGTTATAAAATTATATTTATTATGTATATACATATATTTAAATATATATGTATATATGTATTAACAATATACAAAAGCAATAAAAACTATTATCATTTATTTATCACGATTTATATGTAAAAACATTTACAACACATCAGAAGAAATTAATAAATTCTTTCTCGTTTTATTTTTGAAAAAAATAATATTTTCTAAAGATTATTAATATTAAATAAGTTTTACAAACACATGTATATGATTTATAATTCTCTCTTCTCTTTCCCGTACATCTAAAAAATCTTAATTACACGTATACACACATATGTATGGGAAATACAAATCTCATACATGTTTGAAGCTTACTTTAATATTAATAATGTAGGAAAAACTTTGTTTCTAAATATATAATTTTTTTTTTGTTAATATTGCATTCTTTTTACATTATGTTCTAATCGAAATAAGTAGTAAAAAAAACTGACTAAGAAGAAAGAGAAAGAGAAAAACAAACTCATAATACTGAAGAGCAAACAGAGTCGATATTCGCCCGTATATACTTACATATTTATGGCCGTAGTAAGTGATCCCTAAAGCGGACGGCGCGTCGTTTAAATAGGCTTTACAAGCGGCGGAGAACGTGTAATTTTTCGTCATCTCGCGGAACCCTAGTTTGGGAGGCGCTGGCCGGGAGAGAAAGGGAGGCACGCCGCTGCGCTGTTTCGAAGGCCCACGATCTCGTGAATCGTGTTTCGGAAGGACGAGACGCGCGCCCGAGTCGATGTATACGGTGGCACGTTCGAGTTACTGAATGACCGCGCACGCGATACGCCATGGATTTATATGAACGGAGGAAGATTGCAATTTCCCAGAGATACGTGGAAACGCATGACGTTTCGATGTGTAGTACCTGCGTCTATGGTAGAGGAATGTGATTCACGACGCTCAATGAGCTATCCCAGAGTAACACGTCACTCGGTTGAAGTTTAAAGTATTAGTCGGGGGCGATTCTTGGACGGTATCCAAGCGATTGGATGATGTCGGATTTTCTTCCGGGAAAATGCAATTTTACGATCGCGGAAATGTAGATTACAAACGTTTCGGAAAGCGAGCCATTTGTCAAATACATATTATATCTGTCGATTATTTTCAGTATTTATTTCTTCTATCGCGAGAATTCGGAAATATGTATATTAACAATTCAAGTATACAATGCGTTTTGATGAAAATAAAGTTGACACTAAGAAATATGTATGCAATATCCCAGGATATACAGGGTGTCTGATAATAAGTGTAACACTACTTCAATGAGTGAGTTGAACTGAATAAAAACATTCTGCTTACTATTTAGTGATTTTTGTAATAATTAATTAATAAAGATCCACAAATGAACGTACATCCATACGATTTAGCGACAAAACACAATTTATCGTTGCTACAATCGCGGTTGTTAGAAATGTTCCTCTCAATGTCTCGTTATACACGCATAACAACCATATAATCGACTGTCTCTTCTTCGGCGTGTCTTTAAACTTGCCGTTGAACCGCGCGGATGTATGCTGATTCGTAGATCTTTATTAATTAACCTCTGATTAATTTCTTATTAATTATTTATTACCTTATATTTATTACACGTCTGTATTAACTCAGGAATGGTGTTACGCTTATTATTAAACGTCTTATATATAGAAATAAATGAAAGTAAATGTTTGAATGTTAATCATTAATATTAATAATATCCGTTTCTATTAATGTAGATTAATTTTAATCTTGGTTTAATTTATTTTCTCTAGGTCAAAAATTTGGAAAAAGTGAAAGATAAACCAAAATTAATAAATATTTTAAGCTATTAAAAACACTAATGTATTATTTTATTTAATGTATGATTGTAATTAAGTTTATTCTGTTTGAATAACGTAAAAAATATTAATTTACATTTTGGCCTCATCTATATCAATAATTTTGATAATCAACAACTTAAATTTTTCACAAATTTTATTCAGAAAATAGAGTACTTTCCCATCGTAATATGACACCGATTATCAATGAATACAGAGAATTACTATCGCGGGGATTTATGTATGTATGTTTATTCATTGTAGGATCATGAATATCCTGTAATTCTCGTTGTTCCGCGAATGATGGTAAAGTTCTACCGAGTATATACAAATATTAGCATTTAGTCTTACAGGTAATGTAAAACGCTTTACGTAGGCTTACTAGTGATTGTAAAGTATTGTGATTCTAAAGTATTGTCTAATGTACTATTATATTATATATCCGAAATGGTTTATTTATATATATATAATGAATAATTTACAATAAATAATTTGTGAAATAGAGTTTGTATTGATTAAAGCTACGTTATGAAACACACTGCGTGGTTATGGATTGTCTAAATAAAATTTGGTCATAATAATAACGAGTATTTTATTTCAATGTTACTTTTAAACCTGCCACGTGAAAGTAAGTGAAAGAGTCTCTCTCTCTCTCTCTCTCTCTCTCGTTCATTATAGTTTTTATATTCTATCGTGACATTAATGGCACGTAAAATGATCAGAACTGCCTGTTTGTAACCGCAAGACGGGACTTTAGTATCGTCACGCTGCGGAGTCGCATGCATATTCCTGGGAAAATTAGCGACGCGACATTACACATTCGTCATCCTGCGCCTGACACTATCACCCACGGCGGGAAGTAAAGGAAGTGCGGCGGCTTCGACGACTATACGCGCGGGCAGACAGGATCTCTCTTCCGTTATTTCAACATCCGCGTTGTAAAAAAATCGGAGGTCTGTCGTTGTGTCAAGCCGGGATCCCGCTTTCAGGAAAATCCTATCAAAGGAAAGGGCCGCTTAGAGGAATTCTGATGTACAAGTCTACGGTGCACTGAAACGTCTCGCTCGTAAGACCTTCGCCGGAATATCTCTCTTCGGAGCGTACATAAATATATTAGCAATATACGGGACTGTTGCATTGAACAATTTAAAACTTAAAAGCGATCATTTTTTATATATATTTGAATATGTATGAGAGAGAGAGAGAGAGAGAGTAATTATCGCTTTTAAATACATATGTATATATAGATATATGTATGTGTATATGTGAAGAAGGACCGGGGAGTTCAACAGCCGCGTTAGCATGCCGAGGATGCGCGGCGGTTATGCGCTTTGAAGACGAAAAGAATCGAGATGATGGTCGGTTACGAACCTTCATCCGCAGACCGCTTTGCTAAATAAAGATTATTTACATGCATATTCCTACAATAGTGCCGTTCTCTGCGATCCGCCAGTGCCAGTGAATGATTTTAAATAAGCAGAGAGCAGATATGATAGGAATCAGAATATGTAGCTTGGTATTCGAAAGATAATTCCCAGACTGAATCATATTACGATTACAGTTTTATCGATGCGACAGTATTGATAATAATAATAAGATTATTGTTTTATATACTAATTAACTACGTAATTATACACTCCGCCCAGGTTATACGAGCAAAGTTTAACTCTTTGCCGGCAAATAGGGTTTTTAAAGATATCATCGATAATAATTGTGTAAATTTTGGTAGATAAATTTAAATCTATCAGAAATAAATAAAATACCAATTCACACACACAATTTTTAAGATGGTAAAAATTCGTTGATGCTTTGACAGGTATATTAGAAATTTTCAGATTGTTATATAATCCGAAACAATAAAAAAATTTGCACTCTCTCTCTCTCTTTCTCAATCGCTATTGTTGACAGAAGAGTTCGAATTTATGTTGCCAGCAAAGAGTCACAAAATTCGTTTTAATTCCGTCGCAAAATGAGACATTATCCATTCGAAAATAGGGGACACGAGATTCCCATGGCATTCTAGTCGGCGCCGGCGCGACAAGGCAGACATCTCGCTAAACGTTTTACCATTCTAACCACTCGTCTTTATCAGTAGCACAAACACGTGATAAACCTCTTAATCAAGCCGCTATATTTACAGACATCCAATTCTATCTCGAAATAAAAGCGTGATAATACGCGTATTATCTTCACACCTCCGCGATGCATGTTTGTACGGAACTTTTCGAGATTCAATATAAAAAACTACTCCATTTGTACCATTTTCATCAAGATCGATCACGTTTGACGAATTCCCTCTGCCGATTCACGGTATATACATACATTCTGCGAGACGCATACATGGAACGAGAAAGCGATGCAAAAAAGAAAGGAGCAAGGTAAACAAAAGAACGCACCAGTGCAGCTTCACTGCATCCTCGGATGCGCTTGGCGCAGCGGCCAGACAATAATGCAGGACCACGTGTTTGGCGTTGGACGCGTCCGCAGAGCGGATGGCAGACGTTCCTGGTGAACCCGTCGATCGTCATCACGGCCGTCATCACGGCCCCGTCGTCGTCGCCGAAGGTGGCGTCAGGTAGCGAGGACCTGCGCTTCTCCTCGCGGCGGGGTCCTCTTTCGTGGCCTTCTCTTTCTCACGCGGCACTGCGACGAGCGTGTTGCGCGCTCCGAGACATGAATGGAATGCTTCCTTCGGCGGGCGGTGCACGCGAGAGACGGCTACGAGTCTGGAATGGAATGGGCAAAGAGGCTCCAGCACGGGTCTGGCCCAGGAGTGGGGCCTACGATCGCCGGGCCCTTTCCAGGGCTCGGCTTAACATCAGGGCTGTAGCTATCTTTTGTGTCGAATCATACGTTCAAGCGTGACTCGCGCGAGTACCTATGTCAAAAATGTTGGAAACAGAATTTTTCAGGACACATTTGTAAAAGTAACTTAACATCGATGTTACAATTTCACATTTAACAATGTAAATGTAAAATATAACACATGAGGTTACACATCAGTTACAGTGTTGAGTGTGAAATTATATAACATTATATAATGTTATGTTTTACTTTTAATTAGTGTTGACTAGATTTCTACTTGCTGTTGAGTTAAATAATAAAACGAGAACATAGAGAAAATAAGACGTTAAAATGTTAAAACTTGATCGCGAATGTAGTAATAGAATCGATAGATATCGTCTTTTTTTTATTTAAATTATGATATTAAATCTATGTTTCCTTTTTGTGTTGGATCATTTCAATTCAATGTGCATGTAATATTTTTTTATTCTTTATCATAGTAAACAAATCGTTTTAACAAATAAATCGACAAAAGATTCCTGATTGCTGAAGTATATAAGCTATTTTTAATAGAGCATGTATAATTATTGCGTTTCTTAGCATTTCTTTATCAAATGCTGCATTATTCTTGCAATCCCTTCTAGAACAGCGAACATTGTTATTCGTCGACGAGCCAAATATATCGGCAGATTGAAAGAGGACTTTTGCTAATTTTCGAAATTTATGATTTCTTCAATTTCTTCAGTTTATAGTATGATTATATCATAGTATGATGGAATACACAGCTAATTTGAGTTTCCGCAAAGACAATAAGCATTTATAAAGCGAAATCTATTTTCGGATTGATGTTTCGCGAGTATATTTGAGACTAGACAGTGGAGAAAAAAAGGCAAATGATAATCTTACACATATCCAAAGTGCTGTCTCCATAAAATTGAGTATTTATGTAACAGCTCCGTTTAAAATCAGAAGAATAATATCGACGACTATAAATCAATTTTGACTACGTGATCTATTTTGATGCTAAAATTGAGCATCAAATCAGCATGAAACGTTAAGATCTCA